ATTGGCCGCTGTATCACCGCCCGCTGCTTCACTCGCACATCTGCATCCACCACGCTGGCGCCCCCCACCAGACTCACCGCATCCCCCTCCCCCTCCTCCTCTCTCTTGCCTCTCGCCTGTTCTGCATCTGCATCTTCGCCGCTGCAGTCCGTCTCGCATCGTGCTGCACTTCTTTCCCGTCACTTTTCGTCGTCGTCGTCGTCATCGTCGTCGTCCAACATGGCCTACTCTATCCGCAAGATCGGCCAGACCAACACTCTCGAGCACCGTGTTTACATCGAGAAGGATGGTGTCCCTATCTCGCCTTTCCACGACATTCCCCTCTTCGCCAATGAACAGCAGACCGTGCTGAACATGATCGTTGAGATTCCTCGCTGGACCAATGCCAAGCAGGAGGTATGAGAATCGGGCGGTCCTCTTTTTTTTCTTTCTTTCTTTCTTTTTTTTTTTTTTTTTTTTCTTTTCTTTGCAATTTCTACACCGCGAAATGTGAAGAACAAGGAAATACTGACAATAGCTGCAGATCTCCAAGGAAGAGTTCCTCAACCCCATCAAGCAGGACACCAAGAAGGGCAAGCTCCGCTACGTGCGCAACTGCTTCCCCCACAAGGGTTATCTCTGGAACTACGGTGCTTTCCCTCGTGTGAGTGATAAAAAAAACAAAGAAAAAGGAAAATACCAAAGCTCTGACCAAGTCTAATGCTGTCTGTCTAGACCTGGGAAGACCCCAACGTTGTTCACCCCGAGACCAAGGCCAAGGGTGACAACGACCCGCTCGATGTGTGCGAAATCGGTGAGCTTGTCGGTTACACCGGCCAGGTCAAGCAGGTCAAGGTGCTGGGCGTCATGGCCCTGCTTGACGAAGAGGAGACCGACTGGAAGATCATTGTGATCGATGTCAACGACCCTCTCGCCCCCAAGCTCAACGACATCGAGGACGTCGAGCGCCACCTGCCCGGTCTGATGCGCGCCACCAACGAGTGGTTCCGCATCTACAAGATCCCCGACGGAAAGCCCGAGAACCAGTTTGCCTTCTCCGGCGAGTGCAAGAACAAGAAGTACGTAAAAAAAAAAAAAAAAAAACACCTTTGCAGGGGCTATACTAATATCTTTCTAGGTACGCCATGGAGGTCGTCCGTGAGTGCGCTGATGCCTGGGAGAAGCTCATCACCGGCAAGTCCCAGCCCGGTGAGATCAGCCTGTAAGTAGCCCACCTCGATCTGAGATGGTCAGTATCTAACGAGCACAGCGCCAACCTTAACGTCGAGAACTCGCCCGACCGCGCCGACACCCGCCGCGTTGCTGAGATTCCCCAGGGCCAGAACCTTCCCCCGGCCCCGATCGACGGTAGCGTTGACAAGTGGTTCTTCATCTCCGGCGCTGCTGTTTAAAGCATGCACTCCAACAAAAGAAAAAGATTGCACATGTTCACTAGTGGTTAGAAAAAGTTCCACATTTCAACCTCTGTACTCCATTTTGTAGTTCGAAGCGTAATAACCCTCCTTCTGTCCGTACGACAAAAAACATCAATCAAGCAACGGGATCATTTCAATTGTAATTGAAATCAATAATTCGCTATACATACTGTACATATATGCCTTTGGAAGAAAAACCGATAGAAAAGAGTAAGAAAAGCCCCCCCCCCCCCTAATCTATCCTTTAAGAGCCTGCTCCCGCTCAATCACTCGCCCTATCCTCGCCACCTCCTCCACCACATCCCCAATCTTCATCTGGCGTTTCCCAACCTCGAGCTTCAGCTCTTTGCCTCCCTTGAACCCGATCGTCATCTCTGGCAACTGCGTCGAATGCCGCGGCAGCTGCGTCACCTGGACGTCGATGTGGACCTCGCTCGCCGCGGGGACGGTCAAGGGGGTGCGAATCAACGAGACGAAGATCCGGCATGATCGCGAGAGGGGCGAGAACGGGTTATATGTTGCGCGCAGGGAGGCGATGGCTGTGAGTGGGAGGGACATTTTTTTTTGTTCTTTGTTTTTTTGTCTTCTCACTGAGGTTGAAACTTTTGATAAGCTTTTTGCTTGGAGACAGAGTTGGATATGAATTGGTTGAAATATAACATACCTTTCCAAAAAGTATAATAATGATCAACTAATTGAATCTGTAGCTATCTGCGTAGGTGCTGGGTAGCTTAGGATGCTGTTTGTCGCGGCTGTCAGGGTCGATTGAAGATGAAATCTGATGTTTGCTTTGGATGCAAACATGCCGGCGGCATCGCGGGGATTCTGGCCAGACATTATTATTAGGTAGCCACAAGAGCATCATTTACGATCTAATGATCTATTATGTGATTTGATTTTTTATTTTATTTTATTAATAATGTCGACTGCTACCCGCTTAAAAGAGCTATCTACAGCTCTCCACCAGATCCATCCGCTCGTCGCCCGCCTGCGCGATTTCACCGCCGCCATCGGTCAAGGCGATGACGCCCGTCTCGAGCTCGGTGCGGAGATCCATTCGCGCCTCAAGGAGGCCGAGGAGGAGATGGAGCTGCTCCGCATTGACGTGGAGGCGATCGAACAAACTACAGAGAGTCGAAGGAAGACGGTCGACCAGGACAGGGAAGCTGAGCGGGAACGGGTGGTTGCCTTGGCTGGCAAGTTGACCGAGGAGTTAAAGAGGTACTTGGCTCGTTTTATCGAATCAGGAGGCTACTCTTTTTTTCTGTTCTTGATCTAATAATTTAGGACTCGATCCGATTTCCGCAGCGCGCAGTTACAAGCAAAGAAGAACGCCGAGGCAGCCAGACGGAAGGAGCGGGATATTCTCCTCTCCCGATCCCACGGTGCGGATGTGTCGAGGAGACAACCCTCGGAGAAGCTGACGCAGGAGGATCTGATGCTCAATGCGTCGAGCGATGTGACCTCCGCCCTCCGCCGGACACACCAGTTGATGCAGGCCGAGCTGTCGAGGTCGCAGTTTGCACAGGAGACCCTGGAGAGCTCGACGGCCGCCCTCTCCTCGCTGTCGGAGTCGTATACGGATCTCGACTCGCTGATCGCCTCGTCGCGCAATCTTCTGGGCTCGCTGCTCCGCTCGCAAAAATCCGATACATGGTACCTCGAGACGGCGTTTTATATCCTCGTCGGAACGATCGCTTGGCTGGTCTTCCGTCGGGTTCTCTACGGTCCGCTGTGGTGGCTGGTCTGGTTGCCCTTCAAATTGGTGATGAGGGTTACATTTGCGCTATTGGGAACTGTAGGCATCACGGGTACGGCGCTGCAGACTTCTGCTGGTACAGAGGTTCGCACTGCTACTATTCTTCCGGTTGACGCCGTTTCCCCGGTTGAAACACTCCCCCCTGTCGAAGCACCCTTCCATTCTGCAGAGGACTTCTCTGAAGAAATAGAAGACCGGATGATCGATCAGATTGCGAAGATGGCGGAAGATAGCGCTAAAGAAGGCACCAATATAGACGACATCTCACCGGAGGAGAGGCAGCGACAGGAAGAATTGCCTCGCAACCCGAAGAAACGCATGTTCGAGGCCGAGGTGGATGCTAGGGATGAGTTATAGACTACCAGTAATAAATATATTTGATGAGCCGGAACCTCTGATAGAAGTTATCATCATGAATTCCATCTAATCTTTCGTAGTAGCTCTAATTGGTTCGCGTGTCACGTGCAGACGCGTCGGCGACACGTCGAGCTTCAACTTCCGCGGCTGGCTTCAAGGCAGGCTCTTACTGTCGCCCCTTTCTGCCGTCCTATCGTTGCCAAAATGGCTGCTAATTTCTTCAACAACAAGGCTCGTGCTGCTGCAGCAGCTGCTGCTGCTGCTTCGGGAGGCTCGAAACCCAAGACAGCCACCAAGGAGGATCAATCACAGCATCAACCCTGGGTGGAAAAGTACCGTCCCAAAACGCTCGACGATGTTGCAGCTCAAGATCACACGACGAAGGTCCTTCAGCGGACATTACAGGCTTCTAATGTATGCTCTATTATCCAGGATGAGATTGACTTGCTAATGCCGACCGATTAGCTCCCTCATATGCTCTTCTACGGGCCTCCCGGGACGGGAAAGACATCTACAATTCTCGCTCTTGCCAAATCGCTCTTCGGACCCGCGCTGTACCGGACCCGCATCCTTGAACTCAACGCCTCGGACGAACGTGGCATTGGAATCGTGAGGGACAAGATCAAGAACTTTGCGAGGACACAATTGAGCCAGTCGACGGGGATGGACGCCGAGTACCTGGCTCAGTATCCGTGTCCGCCCTTTAAGATCATCATCCTGGACGAGGCGGACAGCATGACACAGGATGCACAGGCTGCCCTCCGTCGTACCATGGAACAGTACAGCAAGATCACTCGTTTCTGCCTGGTGTGTAACTACGTGACGCGGATCATCGAGCCGCTGGCCAGCCGATGCAGTAAATTCCGCTTCAAGGCACTGGACAACTCTGCTGCTGGCGATCGACTGGAGCATATCGCCAAGCTGGAGAACCTGAGGCTCGGAGACGGCGTGGTTGAAACCCTCATCCGGTGTAGCGAGGGTGATCTGCGTCGAGCCATCACGTATCTGCAAAGTGCCGCGCGGTTGGTGGGTGCGAATAAGGCCCCGAATACGAAGGAAGGTGGTGACGAGGACGAGGAAATGGCAGATGCAGGGGACGCGGATCTCGTCACCGTGCGCATGATCGAGGAGATTGCCGGTGTCGTCCCGGACAGCGTTCTCGACAGACTGGTTCAGGCCATGCAGCCCGGGAAAACGGGCTCGACGTACGAGGCTGTTTCCGCGGTGGTGACGGATATCGTGGCGGACGGATGGAGTGCCACTCAGATCTTAGGCCAGGTGTGTATTTCCATGATTCAGTTGCAAAAGGGCCAGTGTTGACACATTTCTCAGTTATATAGACGGGTTATCTTCAACGATGCAATTCCCGATCTCCAGAAAAACAAACTCGTCATGGTCTTTTCGGAGTTGGATAAGAGGCTCGTCGATGGCGCGGATGAACATCTCTCTATTCTAGATATGGCCCTGAGGATCTCCGGCATTCTGGGCGGCTCTTGATAATACAGCCTGTCGATGAAACAAACTACTCTACTTCCCATCACAGAAGATTACGCTGCTTCGCGTATCCTCATTTCCACCCAGATGAAGCTCACAGACACTACTGGCATACTACCATCTACAACTCCGTGAGAAACCCTCATATAGCTACGACGAAACGGTAAGCATGAGGATAGAAAATGCATTTGGACCTGTTTGCCTGTATTTTTTGGGGCAATAAATCCGCCGAATATATCAACCGGTGCGCTTGGAGAACCGTGACTGCTTTTCCAGTATTTTGTTTCCACTGTAGCAAGAGACTGATCATGAAAAAAGTGTAGCTCGCAGGCTTGAATGAAGAACCCTTGGAATAGAAACGATGTCAACCCTCTATATCTCATTTGATCTACATGTCCAGCTCACCAGCAGTGGAATCGTCCGTTTCAGACTCCTCTGATTTTTCACTGGATGCATCATTGGATGTGTCGCTATCCACGTCCACGGGTTGGTCAGTGATCTTCTTCTGTGCCGGCAAAACAAGAGCCTTCGCCCACGTCTTGCGTTTCAGCGCTTGCTTCTCGTACCAACTGGCCGTCACCGCGGGCTGCATGACCATCATCAATCTTTGCCCGTTTGCATCTGCCGGGTTCAACCTGCCCAGTTGATACCAGTTGTGGAGTTCCATGTACTCGGACCCTTCGTCATATACGCTTCGGAGGAAATTGGAGTCCAGGAAATGGCTCTCAACATGCACATTCTGCTGCCAGATTTGAATGGCTAGTTCGTGTGCTGTGCGCAATACTTTGCTCAAAGCCTTGACCCTTTGCTCTCGTTCTTCCTCAGAATTCAACTCCCTGAGGAGAAGCTGCGCAGTGCCTTGGATGAACTTCTCCGCCGGACTTTGCCAAACTTTTGCATCCAAGGAATCAATCACTTTGTTAGAAGGGTAGAGGCCCTCGAGCGTGCGAGAGATCCATTCAGTATGGTTGTTATCTACTTCGGGGGACTTAGCAGGAGAAATCTTCAACAAAAGAAGCCGAAATGGGTGCCTTACCTGGGTTATCAGATTTCATTTTCATCGCTATGCTCCGTAAAGCGATGCCAAAGTCGATTTTTTTCGAGAAATGCCCTTTCATCACTTGATTTGCAGTCACAAAGGGCTTGAGAATGAAACGAACATGGATCATCTTGACTAGTGAAGCTTCCAGCAGCAGATTGCATCCAGAAGCCATCTCGCCCATGGATTTCACATCCGCGTCAAACCCTTCTGACCTCTTCTCTTTCTCTCCCCCGAGCTGTTTAAGCAAATTCTCTAGCTGGGACTGCTTTGCTCCGTTGTCTACCACCAGGGGTCCAGCAATAGCATGTCTTCGCACCCATCCAACAGCGTCTTTTGCCAGAAATCTGAAATTCGCTTGAATCTGAGTATCGTCAAGACTCTGTTTGCTATCCATCGCAGAGTGTTTCTCCAGATTCTCTTTCGTCAACCCCTTGTTTGTCTCTTCCAGATCTTTGATCATCTTCTCCAGCGCTTTGGTCTTTTTCTTTTCTGCTTGAAGCTCTGCTTCGATAATCGGTTTCGTCCTTGCCTTCTTTGTTCCTGACGCCTTTCCCTTTGTAGACTTTGCAGGTCTCCCTCGCTTGTTAGTTGTTGGTCTGCCTTTTTGGGGTGCCTTGAAAGGAGGGTCTTTCGGGTCCTCCTTGAGACTCTCACTCTCATCATCAGTTTCCATGAGAGTGTATTCTCTTGCTTGACTATCTTCCCTCTTTCTTTTGGTGTTATGTGATTCTGGTTCCGTCTCTTCGTCGATGTTGATAGCTGTTACGTTTTGAGGATGGTTTGTCTCTGTCTCATGATAACTACCGGCATTGGCTGGAGCTTGGATTGCATCTTTGTTCGTCTTTTGTTTCTTGGTACTCCTTGTGCCATTCTTTCCCTTTCCAGGATTCGCACAAGCTGCCGTATCAGACTTGGCTTGCGTTGTGCTGGATTTATTTTCTTCCTGGGTCGAAGCAAGGCTTTGGGCCGAGCATCGAAGTTCATCTCTTGATGGACAATGCTTCAAATTTGTTGGTGACACTTTAGCCTTTGAAATGGTAGTTTGTTCACTATCGTGATCGAATGATTCCATATCCTTTCGCTTTCGAGAAGTCTGTTCTCTCGGTAGAGATTGCTCAGATGCATGTCTTCTTTCCTAACGTGCTGTTAATAGACAGTCAACGGCCGAGTTCGTTCTTTTCAACTCTCTCCACTTACTTCGTTGCTCTGTGAGCAGTTTCTTACTGCATTTCCGATGGCCTCTTTAACCTGCCCAGCAAATTGCATATCTTGAGCTGGAAGTTCGACGCCTGCCAGCTTCTCAAAGCCTTTCTCATATTGGCCTTGTCCCATATGAGAGCTCTCGTTTTCGATCATTTGCTCATCCATGTTCTCGATTCCACCGGAGGCTTCCTCATTGGCTTCTTCTGTGTCTCCTGTGACTCGGTGTAGGTATGACTTGACAGGCAAGTGAGATCAATCTGAGATGAAGATAGTGACTCAACCTGTCAGAACAGATTGAAGAAGAAATAAGGGTTCAGGCTCAGCTTCCTAGGTAAGTGGAAGCCTCTTAGTTAAGAGAAGACGTTGACTGATATATAGTTACCTCTTTGAGGGAAGTTGTGGATGAAGCTTCTTATAGCAGCCTTCAATTGTTCCTTCATCTGTCACTTACCTTTGAGAACTAAGGCTGCTCAGAAGTGAAGGGAACCAGGTCTCCCGCTGAGCGGTAGGCTTCAAAGAACCTGAAAGCAGACTCTTGATACTGAAGCCTAGTCTCCTATCCTACATCTTCTTTTCCCTGCCACCACTCGGTAATTCACCGTATTCTTCTCACCTCTCAGCTTTCTCTAGGCTTGTGCCTTGACCTCCTGATTCAACTTGATCAGCTTCCAGTTGATCAATACCATACTCTCGAGTATTACATGCACTATGCCGCTGCTCTAACTTTGAGCTATTTGCGTGGCTAGGGCTGTTCTATACTATTATTCACATCTGAGTGACTTGGTAACACGGTATCCAGAGCTATCTCTCACTCTACACTTTCCATTGCCTCACATCTCAAGCATCTAGGGCTTGAATCTAGACCAAGGACCATAGTACAATCTCTCGCCTTTCAGCTGTGTATGCTATAAAGGAGATACCCATGGTCCTCTTTTGATGAAAATATTTCTAATTCATGATTTCTAGCCTCTGAGCCCTCCCAGGCCGGATGGGAAAGCTGGGACCTGCAATCATGTCGGAATTTATTCAGACCATTCAGCTTGGAGAAGTTGAAAAGAAGCCAAAGCCTAAAAACAGTGAGGTCTCGTATCTCCTACAGACTCAAGTACGTTCTCTGACTTTGGAGTATAGAGAAAAAACAGGCACCCGTGTACAAGAAAAATAGGAAGTCCGAGCAGAAGGATTCCAAAGCGATATGTGACAAAGTAGGAGGTATGGATACATTTTCAACAATCAAATCATGGGACAATCGTGAGCTAACAAGGCAAGCCCGAGGACAAAATGGCGAGCCACCGAAGAAATCCCGGAGGGTTGAAAAGGACAGGTCGTTCATCATTGTCGGGGTAGACTTCGGCACAACCTTTTCAGGTGGGTATAGGAGAGCTCCATCTCAGGATGGCTAAACAATGCTGACTGCAAATATCATGCTATAGGGGTGAGCTGGCAGATTTCTCGCAGTGAGACCATCAATGTTCATACATTGAAAAACTGGCCCAACGGCTCCGGAAATCTAGAAAAAGTGCCTTCGATCATATCTTACGATAAAGAAGCAACAGAAGGCAAGATCTGTTGGGGCTATGAGGTTGAACCTCGCATGCTCTCTTCGACCTGGTTCAAATTGCTTTTAGTCCAAGATGCTGCAACTGGAGAACATGACGACCCTCTTCTCCGGAAATGCGTCGGGGAGAACTTTATGAAGACCATTTTGGATCGCTCTCCAGAAGACATTTGCCGGGACTACCTTCGGTGTTTGTATAACTACATTCTGGAAAGCCTGGTGGGTCACACAGGACCTAATACTGTTCAAAACACGGGTATCCATTTCGTACTTTCAAGCCCGGCAGCCTGGAGAGATGCCGAGAGGGATAGAATCAAGATCGCGGCTGAAAAGGCCGGATTTGCCTCTCGGGAGGGAGACAAGCTGTCCCTTGTATCTGAACCTGAGGCCGCGGCTCTGGCTGCTTTTGAAGAGAACAAAGCGTTCCTCGAACAGAGTGGTAGCTCTCTAGAGGTAATAATCTTGAATCCTACGGATCAGAAATGTTAGCCTGCTAATATCAATACTACTCTATTTAGAAAGGCTCATTGGTCATTGTCACTGATATGGGCGGTGGTACAGTGGTAAGAGGCACTGGCCCTCCTATTCCCCCAAGGCATGGGTTGATGAATTCTACAGGATCTAATCACGTACCGGATTACGAAACTGCAACCGTTAAAGATGGTCGAAGCCACGGTGGCTACCAGTGAGTAGCAGATGGTTTCTTATATACCGTACACTTCTAATACTCGAGGTACAGGCGGAAAATGCGGCTCTACCACAATCGACAGGGCGTTCCATAAATGGTTGGAGGAAAGGTTTGGCGACAAGTTCACAGGTCTGCCTTCGACCATCGTTGGGTCAGGTTCGAAGGTCATGAGGGAATTCGAAGACGTCAAGAGACGCTTCAATGGCAATGACAGAGACGAGTTTCGCGTCACTCTTGCCATGAAAGACCAAAAAAGCTGTGCAAACTATGATTCAGACCACGGGGAAGTCATCATCTACAGGTACGAGAGACTTGGAGATAGCACTTGCAGACCCCCAGACATCACTGACGGTTTTCAACTGCTAGGTATGAGTTACAAGAGATGTTCAGCGGAGTGATTGACAACGTCCTCCAGTTGATTCAGGCTCAGAAAAACCTAGCGGAACAGGAAAAGGATGGTGGCAAAGTTACGGTAAGATGATTCAGGCCAATTCCGAGCTCCCCTTGCACTCTTTCACTCACCCGTCCTATAGGGGGTTATCCTGTGTGGCGGGCTGGCCCAGTCTTCTTATGTCTACAACAAGATCAATCAATTCTGCAAGGAATTCAGCCCAGCAGTTGAGGTCATACGACCCTCCAACGCCTGGTCTGCGATCACTCGGGGATCCGTGTTACGAATTCTGCAGCCTCGCGTGGCGTTGAGAAAAAACCTGAGGAGCTATGGGATAGCCATGCACCGGCAATTCATTGAAGGGGAGGACTCTGAAGAGGATGCCTTTTACTGTCCGATGGGAGGCAAGCGGGCTCGCAATGTCATGTTCTGGCATGCTAAGAAAGTTAGTAATAACCTGTCATCGCCATCTATCTCTCTCAACTGTCATTACCTCTTGCTGACGGATACTAGAATAACTCTGTTAAAGATGGTCAAACGGTCTGGATTGACGGGTACTACATCTTCAGCCGGACAGATCATGTAGTCAACAGGATGCAAGTCTATGCCAGTGAGCTCGACAATCCACCCTCTAGATTGAACAGCAAAGGTTAGTTACAGCTCTCACCCAGCTTCGACTATTGGGTTCTGGTTTTGGTTTTGGCTGACCAGCTCCTTACTATCTTCTCAGACGTCTACCAGGTTGGATCCCTCGATATGAGTCTCGAGTCAATAACTTCTGCCGTAGGAGGAGGAAAGAGACCCTACAAAGTTGTGCCCAAGACCAAGGACAAAGAGGTCAAAGTCCGAATCGGCCACGTCATCAATTCGCACACAGATGCGATGCATTTCGTCGCCAAGATTGGCACCCGGGCCATCGGATCTTTGAAGTTGAAATACAGTGAGACACTGAACTCCACTGCTGACGAGACAGTCAAATGTGAGGAGCAAGTCCTGGATATGGCTGACGATAGCCTGAGCGACTCAGACGAGGAGAAGGAAGAGGATGGAGCGGAGGAAGGGGTCGACGACGGTTCTGAAGAGAGTGACGACGATAGTCCACTCTTTTTGCAAAGATGTGACTCAGGTCACTCCTAGCTTTCTATTCTACAGGCTCCTACCTGTCTTCAAGGCTTCTTAGTATAATTGGCAATGAAACCATCTAGTCAACTATATCAAGATATAACTTATCTCTATAGTATCTCCAGAACTGGTCTCAACAACCTGTAGTATCAATCGGATAGCTACAGCTCCGGCGCGGTCTCGGAACGGTAAGCAGCATAGTGATGGCCTATTGCATGTTCCTTAATGCCAGGCTCTCAGTTTGTCTATTTAGGTGTAGTGAGGGAAAGCATCGATATTCACTGCGTTTGTTCTGGATATCGGGTTAGGCAGCCCCGTTCCTGTTCTGGGCATATAAAATCCCCTCCCCTCCCCGTTTCCTTCTTTCTTTCTTCTTCTTCTCCTTTCATCCTTCACTCTACCTTTTCTCCCTCATTTCTCTCTTTTATTCTATATATATATAGCATGTTCTTATACATTTATATCTCTATCTATATCTCTCCATACTCTATCAATATGGACTAGGCGCAAGAAATGGGTCCATTGCACTCGCTCCCTGGTAAGTCAACGAATCGAACGTAGGACCAAGTCACTTATTAACGTTCGAGTTGACGTTTCAATAGTTCCTGGACCGTCACATTACAATCGGCCAACCTAGTCCAATCCTTGTCTCTTTCTTGAATACTGTGGTTGGACGGTGCAGTGCAAGAGCTCATCTTCAGCGCTGGTAATTGATGAGATCTTCGACCAAGAAAGGAGTCGTTTCCTCGAAATCCTATCTCTTCTGCTTCCAACGTTCACTTTTTGGATACAGAGTTTGTACTCCGCGAACAAATGAGCAACGGAACAGAAGCCCGAAACGAATCGCGACCCATCTCTTCAGTACGACGCCGGAGAATAAGAGAAGCCACAGGGACTGAAGCGGTTCAAAAAAGGTCTCTGTGCTCTCGTTCGACCACAAAACTCGCGCTAAATGGACAACTTTCACGACTTTACGGCCTTTGGTTGCACGGGAGACCAGCAAGAGCAGTCTCTGCAGCTGTATCATAGCTGTACACTATTCCCTCAAATCAAAGTCTTGTTTTCAAGCAAGACCTGACTGTCGAAACCACATTAGTTCCGGATATGATGGTCAAAAGCTTGGAATGCGCCTTCTCCTTTCCTCATCCGACCGAAACAGCACTGATGAGCCTTTCAACAACTTCGCCCAATGGTCCTGGACAGAGGACGGGGATGGCCCGTTCAGTTCCCTTCTCAAACCCACTTGCTCTACCTCTGGCTAGGAGGATATAGCACGCTGATCTATAAAACTTGAGGTTTGTTCTGCTCCTGTCCTGCTGGTCTGCTTTGGCTGATAGCTCGGAATAATCCCGAGCATATATATAGATCACCGAGAGTTGTAGAGAACAAAATTCTCTCTCAGCTCTTCTCTCCTTCTTTCACCCTTTCCCCGGCTTTTATTATCACTACCACCCGCCGGAGTTCTAGGATTACAGCCCTAGTCGCCCCTGTCGTGCGACATGCAGTTGAAGACCTCGAAGACTTTATTGACGACTCAGACCTTTCCTACGAAGAGGGCTTCTCTCGTCTTAAATACACAGAGCTTTCCCCGCAAAGATGGCGAACAAACAGACCGAGATTCCTAAAGTCTTTAGATCCGTGCCCAGGAACCGTGTCGAGAGGCTGAAGGCAGCTGGGCGTCGCATACAAGAGCATTCGTACTCGTGAGAAGATCTCATCGGCATCGAAGCTTAAACAGAAGGGGTATCTAATTATCAACTTCGCAGGATGTAAGTAAGTAATTACACATCACTATTAATCTCTATGATGGCTAACATAAAGAGCCATCGAAGGATTTACTACGATCGGAAGGAATGAGCCATGGAAGAGTCAACCCGCCCATCAAGAAAGAAAGCACCTCCTAGCAATGCCACTGAACTCGATACAGAATGGTATCTGAATCTTTTTACTTCGCCATTGTTGTCCCAGCTGTCCCAGCTACATCAAGGCTCTAGAAAGCGAATGACGACCTCCTCAATGTATGCTCTCCTGCGAGAAATGCGCGAAATCTCCCCAGTCCAGATTACGTTATATACCATCCTCGACCTTGTCTTGATGTCGTCCTCGGCCTGTCTCCTCGGGATGCCTCTTGAAACCAATCCCACTCGTTCTCTTCGTCTGCCATAACGCTTTCCACCGAGCGTCAGGAAACCGCTGCTGCCGCTGTTGATACTATCGCCACTCTGCCTCCTGTGAGGGGGTTATCCTCCTTCCCTACATAGAAATGACTGCGGCCCATTTATTCTCATATAAGCATGGCCAGGACGTTGGATGCGATCTTAGGATGCATCCAGCAGCTAGAACATTTCTCATCCAGTAACCGGATTCTGCTTGATCATCGAGCACGATTTCGACTCACAACCCCCACTTAGGCAGACCATCAAGTCAGTTACTCGCTCGCTGGAATGGTCAAATCACTCGGGAATTCGCCACCGGCCAAGCCGCCACTATATACCTATACTTCCACTCCTGTCTCCAACTGCTGCCACAGGCGTGGAAGGTTGCTCTAGGCCGGATGCGCTGAATTTATGGCTGCAGGGGCGGCTGTAAGGCGTTCACAGAGGGGGCGCTACGATTCAAGAGCAATTTGTCCATTCTCACCATAACAGAGGTGAAGAAAAGGGTTCGCTCTAGAGACACAGCGCAGATCGAGATGCAAGAGACTTGTGAGGTGGTCGACTGGTTGAAACAGGCCTCAGGCCATGAGCGTGCTACGAAAATGACTGCCCTACTTGTCTTTACACTTTTTAGTGGTCGAATGGTCTAGCGATCACCCCCAAGGGGCTTCTAGGAACAGTCGATTGTTGCATTTGGCGTTCCTAGGAAGTCCGAGGATGCCTAGCACTGAAGAGACCAAAGGTCTAGTCGATCTCTGCGGCTGTGTCTAAATAGACTGGAGAAGTCTAGGTATCTGTCAAGGGATTCTCTCCTTCTCTAGGGCTCAGGCAATTCTCTCTCCGCTTCAGCCAACCTAGCTCCCACCACACAAATATCCTTCCTCAATTGCCTTGTCAGCTCATCCAGCTCATTTCCTGACAAGCTTTCTGGTTCTGTCTCGTCATGCAATATCTTCCAGCACGATCAGTCTTCAAAGCATTCACATGGATCTTACCGCGGCCTTACTACTTAGTGTCTCATAGAGCCCGCCTGTACGGGTACCTAACTAGATAGATGCATTCATACTATCTATTATTGACGATTTTTGTTGGCTACCGGCCCTTAGTATGAGTATAGTATCAAGATGGAGGAATTTACAGGGAGATGAAATAAAACCTATATTCAAATAGATACAATCGAGTCTATGGGAATCTAAACCAAACCACCAGATAACACCAACAGCTATGCAGAGAGAGAGAGAGAGAGAAAGGAAGCAGAAATCAAAACAAGGCAAACAGCAGATCCATCTTCACGCTGTAAGCTCGGCATTCGAAACGGTTTCCACGGGCAGAGATTCGACCGGCTTGGAAGGCGTTGGGATAGATTTGGTGCGAATGGGACCTCCGCTCGTCGGCGGGGGAGAGGTCGGTTTGACTCTCTGCGCCTCGCCGCCCGCGACGCGAGCCGACTCGTTATTTCCCTGCATGGCGTTCTGGACAGCCTGGGGCCGGGTCTCGTTGTGAAGAACCGACTTGCCAGCGAGGTTGAGGATCTCGTCTACCCGTGTGGCGGCGGGGATGAGATGGTCGAGCCCTAACACAGTGCAGATATCGGTGTAGCATTTGGAAGACTTGACTTGGAGGAAGTCCTTGCTCTTGCCCGGGATGAGCATGTTGAGCAGGTACTTGGTGTTGGACAGGCGGTTCTCGCTCTGAATGCAGAGGTCGATGTACTCGCGCACGACGTCGCGCCAGGGGAGCAAGCCACCCTGGGCGTCGGAGCGGAAACACGACGAGTTGGACTCTGCGGCGGTGGCGATCATCGCGCCGTCGACGCCGTACTCGCCCATGAGCTGGAGTCCCTGGTCGCGCGAGGCGACGTCACCGTTCATCACGCACGCAACCCCGGCCTGGCGGCAGACCGAGGCGATCATGCGCAGCTGTTCGCGGATGGCGCGTTCGCGCGGCCGCATGGGTGTCGTCCGGCAGTGGATCGTCAAGCCCGTGATGCCCGTCGCGACGAGGCGGGAGACCAACGCCTCGGTCATTTCGGGGGTCTCCAGCAGACGGATCTTCACCGAGATGCCGATCTGGAACGGGGTGCCGACCTCTTTCACCAGGGCTTCCAGGATGGCCACCAGTTTATCCGGGGTGCGCAGCAGGGCGGCTCCCATCCCCCCACTTGTGCTGAAGGGTTTGGGACACCCGGAGTTCACGTCGATGCCCGCCACATCGCCCGCCACCATCTTGGCCGCCTGCACGGCGAGCTCGGGCGATGCCGTCCCCATCTGGAAAATGAGCTTGCCCTTTTCCCGCTCCGGGTCGAGTCGGTAGATGATCGATTCCTGCACGGCGGGGCCACTCCGGCCGCCGTTCGAGGGCAGGCGGGTGAATTCGATGGTTCCGTTGCGCGGGTTGACACGCCGGGACGCGCCGATCATCGACTTGTCGATTGTTTCAGGCCCCCAGACTAGGTCCGCACCGTACTTGAGCGCCAGCAGGCGAGAGGGCAGCTCTCCGCTACGCACCATCGGGGCGAGAACGATTTTGCCGCGGTAGTCCACCCCATTCGCGGGGATCGGGACGCGAGCCACAGTCGGTGAGTTGAGCGAGGTCATTATCGTGCGGAGGAAGCGCAGCATGTCATCATACAAGGGTGACGGACCGGGTTGTCGAGGCTGTAGTAAGATGCTGGTTGGTGGAGGGGAAACTTTGAGATGAGGCGTTCGTCAAGAAGAAAAAGTCGGTCACGTGGAGATATGGCATGACTAAGCGTGCACTAATTATGAAGAGTTATGTTGAGTATAACTAGTTAGTTATACGGAGTGGTTAACTAGGTACGGAGTAGGTACGGAGTATGTAAGAATAATTGACAAGACAAGAAGTATTAGTTAATGTAATATTCTATCAAAAGCTGTCGCTAGATCTATGCACCAGATCTTATAGCCAGACTCCACCAAACACAAAACTGTAACTCCTCGTCCATGGTAGTTACCACAGATATGCAAACGATAGACCGGACCGAAGCAATGCACCTTCGGACAATGTTCTGGGAAACAAGAAGTCTGGATGTTCAATCATGCTTTCTGTTCAAGGTTGGCCAGTACCATGTCCTCCACTACCTTCATGCCCGCTTCCTCGCCCTTCTTGGAGTCGGCAGCATCTTCTCCAGCGACGGCCTGGTCCAGGGCGAGCTTGGTCTGGCCCAGCGCGTAGATCTGCTCCTCGATCGTGTTCTTGGTCACCATTCGGATGACTTCGACCTCGCGTGTCTGGCCCACTCGATGAGCGCGGTTCTCCGCCTGCACGTCCTCTTGAGGGTTGAAACTGGAGTCGAAGATGATGACCTTGTTTGCACACGCCAGGTTGATCCCCGCGCCGCCCGCCTTGGTCGAGAGCAGGAAGACCGGGATGTCGGTGCGTTCGTGAAACGCGTCCAGAATCGACTGGCGGTCTTCAACGTTGGTTCGTCCGTCCAGACGCACAAACCCGATGTGCTGCGTTTCAAGCACCTGCTCGAGGATATCCATGACCATGGTGAACTGGGAGAAGATCAATGCGCGGTCGCCCTTCTCTTGGAACCGTTCCAGGAGCTTGCACAACTTGTCCACTTTGCCCGACTCCATCCATTCGTCGTGGGTCAAGGCGAATTTGCCCAGCGATTTGGGGTGGGTGAGACACATGGTGTGGCACTCGAAATCATTGTACGCCTTGAGTTCTTCAAAGATGATGTCGGGATCGGACAGCGACCATTGCTCCTCCTTCAGACAGGCTTTCGCCATGCGACTGAGTATCGTGTCGGTGTAGTGGCGGCGGTAGAGGAGCGGATGGATGGCCGCCTGGCGCAGTTTCATCAGAATGTTGGCGGACTTGGTGCCGGTCTTTTTGCCCGCAGCACGATCGGCCAGTAGCCGACGGACCTCCTCCTGTTCGTTCTCGTAGATTTTCTTTTGCGCCTCGTTCATCTCACAGTACTCCACATGACAAGTTTTCTGGGGCAGGTCGATGACCTGGTGCTTCTTGCGGCGCAAGACAAACGGCTTCAGCATCGACTTGGCTCGTTCAATGCGCTGGGCCGACAGGAGAGACGAATGGGAGTCATCCGCGGTCTTGGCTTTGATCTTGAAGATGTACTCCAACTCCTCGCTGTGGTTCTTGAAGACTTCGGGAAGAATAAAGCCAAGGAGAGACGCAAGTTCCTGGAGGTTGTTCTGCAACGGGGTGCCCGTGAGAAGCAATCGGAACCGAGCCTTGATCCGGATGAGCTTTTCGTACAGAACCGACGTGCTGCTCTTCAGCATATGACCTTCGTCAAAGATGCAGGCACAGAAGTTCATGTGGCGCAAGAATTGGGCGTCCACTTTAGCCTTGGCGATCGTGTAGGTGGTGACGACGACGTTGATGCTGTCTCGATTCTCCTCAATATTCTCCCGAATGTAGCCGCGCTCCGTCTGGCCGGCATAGTACGGCATGACGGAGAGCTTGGGACAGAACTTCTGGAACTCTCTCAACCAGTTTTCAATGGTCGAGGAAGGAACAACAACCAGGTGCGGCCCCTTGATCCCCTTCTCGTACAAGTGAGCCAGGAATGCGATGACTTGGCAGGTCTTGCCTAGTCCCATGTCATCCGCGAGAATGCAGCTGAGGTCCTTTTCAAAGAGCAAGGAAAGCCAGTTGATGCCGACGATCTGATAGTCTTTCATCTTCAAATCTTCACTCATGATGCCTGGCTGTCCGATGAAACGAGCCTTGCGCGACGCTCTGGCGGGAAAATCATTTTCTTCATCTGATCGGGAACTGGACGGCGTGCCGATTCCAGAGTCGTGAGAGGTGGTTTGGTCCATGGAGACCAGCTCCAATTCGCCATCTCGTTTGCCAAAGATGTCGACGCCCCATTTCTGCATTTCAGCAGCAACAGGCCGGCCGATCTCCTCGCAGGTGGCCACAAGCGAGTCAACCGCCTCATACCCTCTCCACATCTGCAGTGACTTGTCGACAATCTTGTCGCCGATTGGCTTGGGGGTCTTGCGACCGCGGCCACCACGCGGCTTCGCCGTCTCATTGAGCGGGGCGGACACAACGCGAACAGCATCTAGCGACTTGAAGGGGCGCTGGTCAATGATGATTTTGGCGAACTCTTCTGAATCGTTGGCCAGGTCGGCGAGACCGGCAGCGGTACACGTGTTGATGAACCTGAGCACCTTTGCCTCTATCTCGTCGCTATCCTCGCCGCTCTCGACAGCAGAGTCTGAATCATCTGAGATCTCAAGGGCGGCGTCAGGTTCGGAAGGTGCCGGCGAAGCCGCTTTGCGACCCTGCACCAGCGGGCCTGGCTTCTTCAGTAACGGAGGGGTTTCCGAGCGTGCAGGGCTGGAAGGAGTCGGACGACCCTTTGGCCCCCGGATCAGTCGTCGGCGCGGTTTAGCTTCCTCTTCTTCCCCCTCAGGTTTAGGGGTCGACGACGAGACATTGCCAAAACGCATCGACGCCCACTTGTCTTGGATGGTACCGCGAGCTTTGATGTTCTGCTTGGCCGGCGCGACCGTCGTCGCATGGGTGATGCTCAGCTCGTCGTCTGAGGAGGCGATTTTCTGCTGATCCTCCTTGTTGGCCAGGTACTCCAATGCATCGTTGTAGTTGCCGCGTTTCACGACCAGCGCCTCCATACACGACGACACCGAGTAGCCAGGCATGATTTTGAGCATTCTCTCCACCTTCGATCTGGTCTGGGAGTCGTCGATCTCCTCCAATGTCGTAAGCTGCATCTCCAAGGGCTGAGCGCGGGAGGGCCCATTCTGTCGCGCCTTCTTGACGGCCACCCCCTTCGGAGTAGGATCCATGTGTGAGGCAGGGCGTTTCACCGCCGCGTTGGGATTGTACATGGCAGCCGACGTGATCTCCTTGAACTTGTCCATCGCTGAGCCAACGGGGGACTCCATGACCTTCTCCGGACTCCGGGGCGCCTTGGTGAACATGGAGGGTTTAATGTCGGTACTGCGAGACGGGTGTAGGTTGGTGCCGTCGTCGTCGGATGACCCGCCGAGATATATCGGCCCGTCGTCTTCGATGTCAACGACAGGGACACGCTTCGCCGGTTGCACAGGAGGACAGAAACGAGTGCCGGCAGGTGCCATGAGGTTGGAAAGCAAACCGCCGCCGCGGGAAGGGGAAGACACAGGGCCGGGCGGGGAGGAGGCGGCGACCTGAACGACCGTCCGGTGGTTCCCTCCTGCTGCGGGGGTATCAACAAGCAGCTGTGTCGGCTGCGTCCATGGCTGGGAGGCTGGCGTGAAGCCCGATTGTGTCGTCGACAATGGCAGGGTGGCGACCGTCTCATATTCCACCTCCTGCTGGATGCCGGGAGGAGTGCTGTGAACGACCTTCCTGTCGCTGACGGGGGTGTCGGGGACCGACTCATCCATGGCTATTACTGAGACAGGATGCCAGCCGATCGCATGCTATATAGAACGATGATAAATGAGACAGAAGGGCGTGCCCAAGCCAGCTCTCTCTCTCGCTCTTCCTCTCTCTCCCTCTCCGACTTTTTTGCCTTTTTTTCGGAACGCGATCGCGGCACGCGCCGCCGCCGGTCACGTGGCCACCGCCCATTTATCCAGACGGGGAAGCAGAAGGACAGAGGAAACAAGCGCAGCAGGGAAGAGTATCTGTTATTGTCCTTGGTCTATCTTGCAGAGACTTTATTGAGAATCCTGGTAAGTGAATATGACCCAAGGAGCTTCGACTGAGCTATTGAGATGCTCTATTATGACTGCCAGGAGGCCATTTTGTTCACGTCACAGCATTATTGTCAATAGGAGTTACTACCAGCCTACTCTATACAATCCCAACCAGCAGGCCTCTCTGTGGAACTGCAAGCTAGAATAGCACTTATTGTGCTATTAAACAATTCAGAACAATACTTGATATCACAATACCAATCACAATGACCACCCGTCGCCCCCAAGGCCAGACATACGCCGTGAAGCTCGCTGCTCCTGCCCCGGCCCAGGCCGAGTCGGACGTCACCCCGGCTGTTCCTGCGTGAGTGTTTAGACAGAAATTATGTTGAACAATCTGCTGAGAATCGAATAGGAGTGTCATTTACAAGCTCCTCGGTTTCACGGCTGCGATGGTGTTTGCCCCGATTGGAATGTACTTTTTGACTATCGATTCGATCTTCGGCGGTAAGGTGTTCGATCAATTGAACTTCCTTTTTAAGTCTTCTAATGTCTGCTAGGAAATACGACGTGGGCTGGTATCACGGCGGCCGTCACTGCCAATGTGGTTCTCTTTGCTTATATTATCGTCGCCTGGAGGGAAGATCAAGGAGACAGACAGGCGGAGGCAAACGAGAGAGAAAAGAAGGCGCAATAGTAGTTTTACGATGTACTGAGTTTGCTGAAATGGCCTTTTTTAGCCGAAGAGAATTCTTATTTGTCAGAATCTTCAAAGACGTATGCTAGTTACGTTGGCCTCCTCTTGACAAACTCCTCCAGATCCGCCCTGGTGGCCACCCCGAGCACAAACTTCCGCGATGCGTCCGTGACAACAGCAAACAGTTGCTTCTCGCGCGTTGTCCCGTCTGGTCCAGCCTCGCACTCGAAGAAGCGTTCCAGCTCCTCCAGGGGTGTCTCCATGGTGATCACCTGGTACGAGCCTCGTTTGCGATTGAACCGCTGCATCGCCGCAGACACCGGGTCGGATTCGTTTACCACCCCCTCCGAGAGCATCGTGCGCAGCCGCGGGATGCTCAGGTACCCCATGAGCGAGCGGTGGGATGAGATCACCGTCAGGTGCGTGTAATCGCGCTCATACGCCGCCAGGAGGGCGGCGGAGATCTGGTCGTCGGGCGATACCGAGAGGGCGGGGGGAGGATCCAGATCTTCAACGGTGGCCTTTTTTTTTCATTAGCTTCAACATCACAAAGAGTTGCTAGTTGCTAGACTACTACAAGTACTTACCCCACGGTACTTGTCGGCCCAGGCAGTCGACGATGAAGTGGTTGATCCATCCTGCGCAGCCTTTTCACGGGCAAAAGCTTCGCTGCCTGATAGATAGGATGCCATTTCCTTGATGCTCGGGAAAGACTGTTAAAAAAAACTCCAGGAGATGCTGATACTTCCTGTCGACTTGGAGATCGACGAATTTCCTCTGTGACTAATTGATTAATCGATACGCCGGGCGGTCACCTCTTTCCCACTAGTCTGGATTGGGATAGAAATATGATGTCATCTGAAAAAATGGCTGACTAAGGGATGACTAATGACTAATGACTAATAACTGCCGAGACTAGCCCAAAAGACCCGGGGCCGACCTGATATAGAAGAACGACGGACGGACGTGATATCACCACTCGACGACGACAAGCAATGGCCGTGAATATAAACCAAGTCCACCACGCACCACGGCAACCAATGCATCATCTTCATCCACCATGTTGACCGAAATCGACAGCATCGAAATCCACTGCCTCGTCAATGATGAGCTGGACCCCATCACGCCCAGCATGAACCCGGCCGTCAAGGTGGCGAGCCAGTTCATGGGAATCCCGCTGTCGCCGCTGGCCCCCGGCACCCAGCGCGACGGCGCCACCATGGAGATGCGCATGGATAACATCTGTTGTGCGGCGCACGGCATCTCGCTTCTCCTGGTGCGTTCTTACTTTTCTTTTCTTTTCTTTTTTTCCCGCTCAGGAAGAGCCAACCCCCAAACTCACGTTAACTGCTATCTAGATCGCGACCAAGGGGGACAAGAAGCATGTGCTGCTCTTCGATGCCGGCCCGGAAGGCGCCGTATGGGAACGCAACTCGCGCCGGCTGCGGTCGCAGATTGACCAGATTGAACACATTGTGCTGTCTCACTATCACCGTGATCACTCGGGTGAGTCTCCCAGATGATTCAAAAGAAAAGAAAAGAAAGGAGTTAATGCTTCCTCGCAGGAGGTCTGGTCCGCGCGATTGAGATGATCCAGGAAAGCAAGGCCGGCCGTGGCCAGGTCGTGATGGACGTGCATCCCAACCGCCCGGATTTCCGCGGTGTGCAGACACCGCAGGCGCCCCTGTCTCTCGAGGCAGATCCCTCGTTCGACGAGCTGGCAGCCGCAGGGGCGCAGGTCTTCACGAGCGACCAAGCCCACGCCGTCCTGGATGGGTTTTTCATGGTCTCCGGCGAGGTCCCCCGCACCACCAGCTACGAAGACGGCATCTACGGCGGTCTGCGCTATGATGCTGCCAAAGGCAAATGGGAGGAGGATACCTTGATCATGGAAGAGCGCTACGTCATGTGTAATCTGAAAGGTAAGCCAAGCCAACCCTTTTTTTTCTTTTTCTCCTCATGATTTGTTTTGATTGCCCGGGCTGATGTGATTCGCAGGGAAGGGATTGCTGGTCTTCACCGGCTGTGGCCACGCAGGTGTCATCAACACCTGCCGCGACGCTGTCGGCTTGGGCAACGGCGCGCCGCTGTATGGTGTCGTGGGTGGGTATCACCTGGCTGATGGCAGTGACGAGAAGCTCGAGGCCACGCTCCAGGATTTGAAGACCTTCGATCCCAAGGTCATGCTGGCGGGCCACTGCACCGGCTGGCGGTTCAAGTGCTTGATCGCCCGGGACATGCCCAAGTGCCTGGTTCCTTGCTTTTCGGGCAGTCGCTATGTGTTATAGTTTTGTTTCTACATTCACGCCCAGGTAATCATATAGGTAAACTAGTAAAGTGGATCTATACTCAATGGCCTGCTCTAGATCTACACTTATCAAAAGATATATAGAATTGATCTAATTGGTAATACGCAATACTAAATTATCCCAAGCTCAACACTAATTACCTCTGGGTGGCTCTTCGGATCTCCGAGCTGGTTCGGAAAGCCGCACCCCATTTGGATATTTGCCGGAGCAAAAATAAAAAACATATACAATATATACAACATATATAAAGATGGCAAGGACAATCACACTATTTAGATTAACAATCTATTCACCCATCTATAATTTATAATCTATTTTATTCTACGTTCCCTGGTCCTCCCCTACCATGCAGTCAGAACACCACGACGGCGGAGATACCATCAACTGCAACTCGTTGCCCTGGCTCCCGCTGGCACCCAACGTCTGGGTCCGGATTGTGAAGATGGACGCCGAAACAGGCTCATACACCATCATGGTGCGCGCCGAGCCCGGGGGTGTGCTTCCTCGTCACCGCCATCTAGCCAACGCAGCCATCTACATCATCAAGGGCAACGGCGCCCACCCGCAGACCGGCGCCTTCAAGCAGGGAGACTTTGTGACCGAGCGCGATGGCGCCACCCACGAGCCGCTGCACTTCCACGAAGAGTGCGAGTTGCTCATGATTAGCGACGGGCCCTCGGCCTTCTTGGACGACGCGGACAGAACCCTGTTTTTGATGGATGTGCCCATGCTGCAAGGGCTTCAAGCCGCCGCCTCTGCCTGACATCAAAGGCCGATTCACTTATGATAGAAATGATATACCTGGTTCTTCTTGTCAATCTTCCATATCCGGCGTAACTCTCATTTCTCGTATATGAATGATATTGAATCCCAATTCCATCAGATTTGTAGTCTTAAAATGACAGCGAGGGATCCAACCACTCCATTGAGACCTGAGTATTGAATAGTCGCCACATCAATCCATCAGGTGTCATCGGCATCTCATCCACAGTAGCAGCAGCAGCAACCGGAAGGGACGTGGGCGCGTCAGAGTCAAAGGGCGTATCCTGCAGCCAGGACGCTTCGCCACCATGGACAGGATGGTCGTCCGGAGGCAGAGGCGGAGCCTGCGGCTCAGCTGCAGCGGGATACCAATTCACAACGCGGGCGCGTGGGCTCAGGCGGGTGCGGACCTGGATGAGCGGCGTACACAGGTTGTGCAGCGGGTCGAGAAGCGTGAGCAGCTTGGCGATGGAGGGGCTGCTGGCGAACTGCGACAGGCTGCGGTTGATGTCCTGCACCAGCTTGTAATCCTCAAGGTCGACTTCGCCGATGATGTTGCAGAAGAGGACGAAGAACGGGCTGAGCGGGTAGAGGAGGACGGTCCTTTTTAAGATGAGCGAGTAGATAAGAGTCAGCGAGTGGCAAGAGGCTTACCAGGATAGAAATGACGGATACGGATCGACAAAGCCCGGCATTGTGCGGATGTTTTTGAGGAGGAATTGCAACGCGGTCAACGATTTGCGGGCGTACGAGACACATTCGCGATGGACCAGCGGCGAGAAGGCGTACTTGAGTCGCGAACGAAGCGTGTCGACCATGATCGAATAGTGGATAAATTCCAGCGCAATCCAGTCGGTACAAAGTAACCCGGAGGCGGATGCGCGGTTCTAAAGAGAAAGAAGGAAGGAATACAGCATCAGATGGAGAATCGAACGAAGAATGGGAGGAGAACTAACAGCCTCTAGTCGGACATGGATGCGTCCCAGCTGCTCTTGAAGTTTATCATGCTGGCTAGCTAGGATCTGATGATGGCTCTTGCTTTCTGACTGGATCTGCAGAAGCTCGCCCTGAACCTGGGCCAGCTCGAGCAGGATGCTGATCAGAGGCAGGTGGGCAAGCGAGGTCTCCTCGCCGATCAGATCCGTGGGCGCAACACGGAGTTCGGGGAGGGAGAGCGGGCGCAGCAGCAGCGCGCTGAGCGTACGATCTAGATAGTAACACCAGTAAAGACAGCTGCGCACTTGCTTGTCGAACTTGGTTGCCGGGGTCAGCTCAGAGACTTGATGATATTGGAGGGCCACAATCAGCCGCGTCGCGAAGGAGTTGATCATCCAGCTTTGGTTCATGTAGCCTAGATACTGCATCAAAAGGGCCTATCTTATTAACAGAGGTCTGCCCGGGGTGGGGGAGGCCACATACCGAGGAGATCAAGGCCTGGACAAAGGGCAGGCTCGGTTTTTCAAGCAGACTGAGGCTTTTCAGGGCGCGGATGGCGCACGCCTCATACTTTCGCTTGGAGTGCAGGGACTGCTCGTTCAGGACCGAGTCGGTATGATATCGGGGCAACTGATAGATATAAAAGAGGGCTTTGACATAGACACAGACACAGTATTGATAGAATCGCTGGCCGGTGGCCTTTCCTCCGAGGAGTGCCGAGATCATCGTCACCAGGGCTTCCTGCGACAGATGATCTGGCCATCGCAGACTGGAGCCTGTAGTCGGATCTGTCCCGTTCCATTCAGCAAAGGCCCCCAGACAGGACAGTTGGGAAAAGACACACACGATATATATACCTTGTAAAAGCATGTAGAGGAGCTCAGGGGGCGGCGTGATAGACTCAGGCATATCTCGACAGTCCTCCGGCGGCAGCTCCGACGACAAACCCGTATGAGGGCTGGAGGTCCGCCCAGGAGGCAAAGTGCCGACCAGATCCAGGGCGGATTGCAGAATCGAGCGTCGCTCCTGATCCATGCGGTCGTTGCCCTCCAGCTCGGTCTGGATGATCGCCTTGGCCTGCTCGGCACGGTGGGATGATTCATCGGGAGCCATACACACCTCACACGGCCCCTGTGTGGGCGACCTGGCAGGCTGTTCCGGTTGCTGGACGGCCTCGATCGGGCGTTTTTGGGACAGAGCGCCTCCTCCCTCCACCGTTCGGTCTTGCTGTTGTTGGGGATCCGGAAACTGCTTCAGATCCAAGACTCTTTCCATAGAACCCGCTGACAAGCTGCTGTTCCCTTCCGACTGGGCTTGCGGGCGACCTGGCCGCCGCACACGCGTCCGGAGGCACTCTATACTGGCATCGATACAATTCGCGCACCGCGGCTGTCTGTTGCACCGGACCTTGCGTGAGTAGCAGCGATCACACTGTGGGGTCAGTCAGCCCTGAGGCAGCAAGTAGGAGCACAAAACGCTTACCGCAGGTAGAATCTCGTCCTCCATTGGGAATGGCCAAGTAAGACGCCGAAGCAAGGATTCGGTTGTCGTTGGTGAAGACTTCCTGGACTACTGAGAGGGATCCGGGAATCCGAATGAAACGGCGCGGAAACCCGTTCGGAGAGAGATGCTGACTCATCCAGGGGTTTGTATAAAGATAAGAGTGTTATGACGTCATCGCAATCTGGGAAATATAGATTCATATACAGGAGACTAAAGGTCAGGAACTACTATCTACTCTGTATTTATACTGTGAACAAGGCGAGCAGACAATCATGGTCACCAAAGGGCTCCTAATATAAGATTCCATACTTACTAGTATCCTCTTCAATATGTTGACATAGTAGTAGCCAGCTACAAGTAAAGATAGTACCACCAGGTTTGGGCTCACATTTCGGTTGAAGAGTCCTGAAATATGTACCTGGTATATCCGTCACTTTTACTACCAACAACTGCAGACTGCTGAGCACTATGTCACAGGACACCAGTCATAGTTCCCATTCGAATTGTTCCCCCACCACGATGGGAACGAATGCGACGGTCCACCAGCGCCGAACACCGCAAACGAGAGGATGAAGATAACAGTCAGGCTGGCTCCATCGAAAGCACCAGTAATCAGGTAAGAGTAGTCTTTAAAGATGCGGGGGTGGTAGTTGCGGAGGTAGTACTGGACAAAGAAGCCAGCGATGATCCAACTGAAGATAACACACGTCTGCGACTGATTGTACGGAATGTACCCGGCATATTGAATGAATTGCGGCATGTTGATTTCCGAGACATCGAGCCTTCCGATCTTGGGTACAAACTATTAAAAAGGGGATCAAGTCAGCTTTCTTCTTCTCTTTATTTTGTTCAAAAAAAAACTATGGGGGAAGGGCTTGGGGGGTTTGTTTTATTTACCTGGTAAAAGACGCGGTGAATGACGACGGCAGCAGCACCAATCGCTAGGCCGATGGGCACCATCTCATACTGTGTGCCGACCCGGTATATGTAGGGGGCCAGGGCCCAGGAGGCCGCGTTGGTGTTGTAGGATTGGATAGTCGCACCACTCCAAGAGGAGTTTCCGTTGCCAGTGGCGAGAAGCGCTCGTTTACCCGACACGATGGAGATCATGACAGCATAATTGATAAAGCCTCCAAGAATGGTGCCGTACATCTGTGTCAGGAACATGACGCGGGGAGGAATCTTGACTGGGGGTGGTGGGTCAATCTTGGGCGAAAAGAAGAGCAAGACAGGAGAAAGAGAGACTGCTCACGGTATTCGCCCATTTTCAGATCGTTGGACAGGTTGACTGTATTCGCGATGACGTTGTGCGACCACGCTGCGAAGTACATATTACCGACTGGGCGGCCAGGAATCATAAGACCTGCTAGCATTTTGGATAGGTTGTTGGTAGCAATCCCGTTACCGTAGCGAGAATAGAGTATGGTACTCTGCATGGGCGATCTTGGTCAGAGATCCTTCTTTTGTGGTACAATTGAGGCAGGTGCTGCGGGGAATACTCACAAAAGGCGCCACGATAATTCCTACAATCAGCGAGACAATGTATGCCCAGACCGGGAGCGTGATATCCTCTTTGAGGACTACGATGAGGCCGAGGATGAAGCTGCCGATCAACACCACGGCGTACCACCACCATGGCGTTTCCTTGTAATTCTTGGCCATGTGCACATGGTGCCGATCATCATATCTACCTTCTTTTGCGCTGCGATACGCTCGCAAAATATCTTTACCCCAGAAGAGAATACAATGTAAAACCAGGGCACCAATCTATAGAACACAGTTAGCTCCTGGATGAGGGGAGAACAAGCGGATGAAGTAGATATGGGCACTTACTGCCGCATTGGCCATGAACATGGCAAATGCAAATGTTCCAGTCAGTTTGGGGAGGCCGTATTCGGCCAGAGCAGCCTTGTCAAGCACCCCGTCGGGGAAGACGTCGGTTACGGGATATGCCGTGCCATTGGCCATCAGAAGCTCTGTCGACATGAATGGAAGAGATTTCGAGTTCCAGCCGTTGCCGTAATAGATGCTAGCCATGGCAATAAAGCAGACAGCGAATCCGATGGCTTGATGGAGTTGGAACTTGAGAGGGAGAGAGGTTTGGAAGGAAGTAATCTGGACCAGTCAATCCACCGATTTGATCAACAAGCAGCAAGTAGCATTAATTTCTCTTACATATTGCCAGTCGAAACTGAGAGAGAACAGACCCATACCCTCGTTGTTGCTGGCTCCACCAAACACATTGGTGAGAACTGCCGCTACGTTACCGGTTGCTTTCTGGGAAGCCAGGCACTGTGTCGTTGTGAGAAAAGGTCTGTACAGAAAAACAAAAACGAAATGAATATTTACGCACTGGGATAGAAACAGAGTTCAACCAGGGGAAAATATAAGCCGGAATGATCTCGTATAGCGACATGCCGGTAAAGGCATACCAAAAGTATCTGAGTGGCTTGGAGTTCTTCACTTGCTGCCAATGAAGCCCCTGGAGAGTCTTGACGGTGGGCAGGGTACTCCAGTAGACTGCTTCGACGTGCCAGACGGCGATGGGACGCATGATGCCGCAGAGACCGTAACCAAAGAGACCGATGGAAATGGTACTGAGGATCACAGTGGCGGCGCTCAAGGGAAGATCATAGAAGATATTCTGTGCGGCAAACACGGTCGATGTGGCGGCAGCATTCGAGGCCGATGTAGCCGTGATGGAACATATCGAATGCTCCTTCAGCGTCCATGGCCCCGGATTCACGAACTTGATGAGCACGATCCACCAAGGGAGCTTGTCTTGGCTGCTGCTGCCGCCGCTTCTTGCCCTCCAGCGAGCCTCAAAGTGATCACCACGAGGGAGAAATTTGGCCCAAGCATTGCCGACAAAGTATGAGATGAGGACGATGAACGTCCCTTGAATGGTGACTATGGTTGGTTTGAACTAAGGTATCGCCAGAACCTAGGTGTCAGCGGAAAACCATCCCGGGAAACTACCATGTCCATCTCATCGGATTGGAATTACATTGTATATCTGGTTCATGACAGCCTGAAAACATGCCAGACCAGAGGCCAGGATGATGCTGCGAAAGGTCAAGGCGCTGTCAAAGTCATCTCGCAGCGGGAGTAGGTGATCGGCCGCATCCGCACCGGTGACGATGATCACGTCGTCATCAAGGTCACCATCCTCATCATCACCTCTTGGTTCTTCCTTGACGGAAATGAATTCGGTGACGGCCATCTTACTCTCCTGGGGAGAGACCGAAGGGTCTTCGCCTTCGACGGGAGTGGATGACAGCATGTTGTCCAGTTCTCACTAGGGTTTTCCCACAGCGCAAAGGAGGGGGG